TGACTAAAGGCCTTTGGGCACCTTTAGTCGCGGTTGGCCTGGCCAACCGCGACTAAAGCCCGCGAGCGCCCTGGGCCCAGGCATTTGGTCGCGGTTCATCTGCCGAACCGCGACTAAAGACTTCATTAGTCGCGGTTCCTACAGTTTCGCGACTAATGGGGCTGGACGGAAGCCTCTTTTTCCACCAGTGTCCATCTCGCACGACACGACCTTGTGCGTGGCCAGCAGCCGCAGCATACGGTCCACCATGGCCGGCGCGTCTGGGTTGGCCTTGCATGGCAGCTGCGCGGCCACCTCGGACGGGGATAGGGCCTTCCCGCCGGCACTCACAAGGGTCTCGAGCATGCCCAGTTCGATGGCGTTCTTTAGCGTCATCGGCAGGATAGACGACGTTGCTAGCTGCAGCGCGTACATGCATGCCTCCTCGTCGCTAGTCACGGTAGAGCCCATTGCCTCTTCTAACTTCGGAATCAAGCTTCTTGCTAAGTGAGTTAGCTGTGGCTGAAGAGAGGAATGGACACAACGGCTTATATAGGAGAAAAGAAAAATTGCGGGAACATGCTCCATCAAACTGACAGAGGCCCCACCTGAAGAACGCGTGCCGTACGTGCCTTATCTCTTCCCACCACACGAATCCACCCATTCATCTCAGCTTTATCTTTTCCATCTTTTCGTCCCTCTCTCAGTGCAGGAACTATGGAAGCATTACTATTCGGTGGTCTCATGCCATGCATTTAGGCTTGTATATGTATGAATCCATCGCTTTGAATAACTATCTCCCAACAGTAGCAGCAGCAGTCTTTAGGTCCCGTGTTGCTCCCTCTCTCTTATTTTTCCCATCTTTTTCTTCCTCATTCACACACGCATCAACCAGGAGACAATCGATGGCTGCACTAACTGCAGGCGGCACTAGTACATTGCGAGGCAACCATTTCTGACACCTGAACCTAGCTGGCCTGCAGAGCACCCAGTCGGAGAGACGCATTGGCCATGCCCTCAGGTCACTTCCGCACTACCGCTGATCATTGTTGTTAGGTTCAACCCTGTCTCCTGGCAAGGCAACCCCTACGTACGTGAGGCCTTTAAAAAAAGGAGAATTACCCTCTGCATTGATAAGATGCATGCAGCCATATTATTAAACAAACATGTAAGAACGTCTGTAGCTCGGTACAAGATTGCATGAGGAGCTGAAAAGTAATAAAGATAAAAGTTGCCACAACCGGCAAAAACAGGACAAGATGACTACATCTAGCCCTATTATTGGATCGCCATCTAAATCAGTTGTGTGTATCTTGTGCGACCATCTCCCAGCGGTTGCACTCAATAGCCATATGGTCCTTGGCTTCCGCATGACTGAGTGACTACCTTCTATGGATCTCAGTTGTTGCTCTGTATATGACCTGCAAAAAAATTGGAAGAATTTGTCTGTTCCATAGCCCAAAGTAATGTGCATACTGTGATTCGAATATAGGCGGCAATTTTAGGCTCCACTCCATTTAGTCACGTCCCAAATGTGTTTATACTATTTGAAAGAGTAACGTTAAACACCACATGTATCATACACCATAAGAGCTTTGAATGTGGACATTTGAGAAAAAAAGTGTTTTATAGTTTCGTCTGGATCATAGAAGCAGCATTGTTTAGTACCCTCCCGTCTGTGTTGTGCCAAGTTATCCTTAATCAGAATCACTTCCCTGTGCACAAATCATATGATTTTTTATTCTTAAAGGTATTTTAATCTTTTAAATATGAAGCGAGCTTGCGATTGGACCAGACTATTAAATCTAAATACATAGAATTCACTAATAATACCCCAAATACTGAGAGTTTCCAATGAAGCGTATCAGGCTCATCAGAGAGATTAAACCCCATGAACCTCCGCACAAGATGTAGCCAACTGTTCCATCGTTCTTTCACTAGGGATCTCCCAAACTAGATATTTAGATGTGTGGACCCTATATTGTACTCCTCATCAAACTTCCTAATCTTTGACCAAGTCTATAGAAAAGAGTATAAATATTTATCATAACAAATCTATATAATGTGGAAGTACATTCAACAATGAATCTAGTGGTATTGATTTGTTATTATATATGCCAATATTTTTGTCTATAAATTTGGTCAAAGTTTACAAAGCTTGACTTTGACCAAAGCTAATACGCAAACTAAATAAAAACGGAGAAAGTACTAAAGTAAGCGTCCTTATGGTGTAAAATATTATAAAGAAAGAATATTGTGTGGCTAGTGGACTCTCCCCTAACAATGTATCTTCTCTAAATTTAGTCGTGTTACAACTGCACACAGGGTGGCCGGGTGTAAGGTCCCATGTGTGCCGCACATGGGGTGGCTTATTTCACACGTCTTGACCAAGAAAGTGTAGGTACAAGACATCATGCACCATCCAAATCTCCACCACACATCACATCAACTGGTGCACATGGTGTCACATCTGCATGTCCACTATCTCTCTTCTCTCTTCTCTCTCACAAACAAATTCATTCCTTTTATTTCACCTTTCCTAACTTAAACCATTTATATCTTTTCAACCAATATTTTGATTTCAGAACATTTTAAATATTTGAACTCCTAACAAAAGGACCTTTAGAAAAGGATCATCTTTGAAATATTTTGACTAGTTTAAAATTTTCAATAACATATTTCACTCATTTCAATAACATATTTCACTCATTTCGCTCGTTTGAATAACATATTTCACTTGTTTTAATAATAGATTTCAATCATTTCAAAAACAAATTTCATCTCATTTCACTAACTGATTTCACTCATTTCAATAACATATTTCACTCATTTTACTCATTTCACTAGTTTCAATAACTGATTTCACTCGTTCCAATAACATATTTCACTTGTTTCAATAATATATTTCACTCATTTCAAATACCGATTCGTTCATTTCACTAATTCCAGTAACCAATTCACTCGTTTCAATAACAAATTTCACTCATTTCACTCGTTTCAATAAAAAAATCGACAACATTATTCACATGTGATTATTAAGTCTGTTCCTAGCTCCCGGGACGCGTACAAAACGGATAAGTACGAGAGCCGCTCCTGCAGGTTGAGCACCACGCAATGCGCTCTGGCTAAACAGAAAAGCGGCAGCGTCCACACTAGATGAGGCGCCTTCCTCCGGCCCTAACCTCTCCCTATATAAAGGCCAGCAATCTTCACGCACAGAGGGGAGGGAGACGCACGCGTACATGCCGCAAGGGTGCCGCCCTTCACATTCATGCTCACGAACCTCCACGACCGCAAGCCTCTTCCTCCACATATGTAAACACATCAGACGAACAGGTTCAAGAGAAGATCAACCTTGGGATTCCATGATGGTAAAACAACACACTCATTGCGGCGATGTCTTTGATCCTTCTCCCTCTTGTTCTTTGTGGCTCGGAAAATTAGATTGGTTCACACCAGTCAAATATGTTGCCTCAGGAAAGTAGATTGGTTTATCAGATCTTTTGTGGCTCGGAAAATTAGATTGGTTCACACCAGTCAAATATGTTGCCTCGGAGAAATGGATTGGTTCATCCGATCTTTGTTGCCTTAGAAAAATGGATTGGTTCACACCAGCCTAATATGTTGCCTCGAAAAGAAATAGATTGGTTCATTCGATCTTTGTTGCCTTGGAAAGTAAGATTGGTTTGTCCAGTCTACAAAATTGTTACTCATAGGTACAAACTACAAGATTTGTTGTTGATGCTTGTCGCCTAAAACAAGCAGGTAGAATACAGGTACAGGACAAGGAGAGGAGGAGATCCGGGCAGAAAAGTAGTTTATGTTAAGGGTCAGGTTCGTCAGAAATTACAGCGCTGACAAAGGTGCACTTCGAAATTATTTTCGGACGTTCCAGGATGAGTATCAGGCTCGAAATTTTTACAGGTGCACGAGGCACATGTGTTGATGTCGTGTTAAAATTTTAGATCATTTGGCCGAGAGGAAGGCTAGACAAAAAAATCACGGAAAACAGAGTACGAACCTGGTTGTACCGCCAGCTTCAGAAAACCACGCCGGCCAAACCTGAGAGAATTTTGATCTGAAATTTTTCTGAGGTGAACTAGAGACGCCCAAATATGTTTGTTAATTTTTTCAGATTTTTTGAGACAAGAGAATAGGCGCAACAGTTCACACAAGTTAGGTTTTATTATCAGGCCAAGCAGACTAGTACGCCCGACCGATGACTTTCTGTAGGTTGATTTGTTAGGCGATAAAGCCTGGATCCTTTGTGAGAACAAGCTAAGTCACCAAAGAATGCTCCAACCTACAGAGAAGGCAATTTCTATAAGTTGCGTGCAGATAATAAGTGCAGCAATCTAGTACTTGAACTGCATCTCTTGCCGCGCCGTTGTCTGAACTGCAGCACACTACAGGGCCTTCGAACATGCTTGGAGAGATTGCTGTAGGTTACACTTCGCCGTCGTCGTTGCCGGCGCCGCCTCCGGTATCCGTCAACCTTGGTACACCGCTGCACCAACCTCTTCTGCAGAATGAGCTGCCTTTGCTCAGGACGCCGCGAGTGGCGGCCGTGGAATCTCCACGCATGAAAGTGCATGCTTGCATGGGTGCAACTGTAGCTGCATGTGTACGTACTGATACTTGCATGGATGCTTCAGCCAACAAGAACTCGCCCGTGGGGTTGCATGGCTCTGTGCGACGGACGCTACAGGAGGCCGTTGTCACTGAGCTAGGCTCGTCAACAACTACCGACGATGGACGCCTAGTACAGCCCATGACTGCTCAGGCAAAGGTTCTGCAATCACCTGCGTCTCACCCTCGCTATAGAGCGCGCCAAGCTATCATCTGGCTGCTGCGGTGACACTTGGTCCAGCCACGGGGCGCAACATGGAGCTATCCTCGTCACCCGTTACTGACGTTCTAATGGAGCCAGGAGCTGCTGCACAGTTGGGATCGCCTCCGTCTTCTCCAACGCCGCAGATGGCGCTCCATTCTACTCCAACCAAGCTGACGGATACTCCGTTACTGCGCAGTGGTCGTCACTTCACCTCTGCTGACGGGTCCTCGGCCACTGATGAGTGTTCCCTCTCCAAGGCGATGCGGCATCAGGCGGAGCGTTACCTCGACCCTCCTACAGGTACACCTTGCAATAAATCATTTCTTTCTTATTCTGATTCTCGTATTTCCTCTAGTTTAAGACTTGGGTCCATGTTTTGTGACTTCACCGCGTCCTCGCGTAAATCAAAATCCCACTCCTCAAAAAAGAAACAAAAACCGCCCAAGAAGGCGAAGGTATCCTCCCTGACCCGAGTTTCCACATGAGAGGCATGTTTTGGAATAGCAGAGGTCTTTCAGACTTGGCTAAACATAAACACGTCGGTGACTGTGTGCGTGACCATGGGTTAGATTTTGTGGCAATTTCCGAGACTGGTAAATGTGACTTTCGTGCACATGTCTTTGATCACCTATCAGGTGGTTTGGAATATACATGGCATTGCTTACCACCACGTGGAAGGTCCGGAGGAATCTTACTTGGGATACAGACCACAACCATGGAGTTGTTAGCTTTTTCGGTTGGTGAATTTCACATC